TCCCTGCCCCGCCTCTCCCCCTCAGTCCACTCAGCAGGACGAGCACCTTCACCAGACTCCTTAATCTGTCACTTGGGGAGAAATATTTCCTTTCGCGTTTTTTTTCTTGCTTCTCTTTACTGTGAATCCAGACGCACTGCTCTGCGATTTGTTACTTCTTCTCAGCTCCTTTTTCCTCCATCCCAGCCCGTGAGGAGCTCAAGCCTCTTCGTTACCAACTTCAGAGCTTCCAGCTGAGACTCTTCAGCACCGCGTCCCCAGTGTTTCCTTCGTGACGCAGTTACAGCGGACAGACTGCAGACAGGTTGTTCTTCTGCGTGCGGTTAAAAGCCAGTAAACCGACTAGTTCTGGAGATTCCTGGAGTGAACTGGTGAGGTGAGAGTCCCAGTCACCTGTTCTGACCTTGAGTACATCTACGGCCATGTCTGACGATGACACGTCCCCTGTGAGGCACTTTAAAGCTGTTTTGCTGCTGCATTTCTCTGGTGGAGGTGCTGAAGTTTTTCAGGGTGGGCTAGATGGTTTCAAGGGTGCTGTGAGACTTCAGGTATGGATCAAGCACAGCCTGCCGAAATTCTTCCATCCGGACTGGCAGGTGCTGTGTTTAGTTACTGGGACAGTCTCCTGGATACAGTGAAATGTGACGATTATGACACTTGAAAACACATGCAATCAGTTTTTGGACCAAAACAGGAACTCAGAGCAGTTCAGACATATCTGAATGCACAGCTGCCTCAGCCTGATGAAGCTGTGGAGGTGTACGCAGCAGAGCTGTGTCTCCCTGTACTGCAAGCTTTCCCGGATCATGGACAAACTGCCATTGCAGGAGAACTGCTGGACTTGTCCTGGAGTCTGGTGTCGCCGTGCTGGATGAAGCTCTAAAGGTATCTGGCCAGTGTGAGAGAACGCGTTCCTCACTCCACATCTCCTTCCCAGCTCCAGTGCCAATGTCTGCTCCACCGCCTGCTCTCTCCACTCCAGCCCATAGCTTGTCTGACATCAAGCTGGCAGCCGGGCTAGACAGACTCACACTGAAACTGGGCACCACCGACTCATGTGGACGTGCCTGTTCTCATTCTCCAGAGGGCCAGTCTCCATCTGCACGTAGGAGACCACAGTCCCCAGGGGGGCCCTGGGAGGGCCAGTGCAGTCCTTGTTGAGGGTGTCGACATCAAACAGATTCCCCTGCTCATGGGTCTACAGCAGAGGCCGACCTCCATCATGCAGCTCCAGCAGTCATAGCTGGCCTTTCCAGCCCCAGACCTGCTGCCAGGTCATACTGTACCAGCAGCACCACAGCTGTGATGATGAAGATGATGATGACAATTCCTCACACTTATATAGCACCGTTCTGGACACTCCCCTCAGAGCTCTTTACCACTCAAAACCCCTCCACCCCCACCAGTGTGCAGCCCCACCTGGATGATGCTCCAGTCCTCTCACACACACCAGCTCTCAGTGGGGAGGAGAGCAGAGTGATGAAGCCAGTTCAGAGACGGGGGTTATTAGGAGGCCATGACTGGTAAAGGCCAGGGGGAAATTTGGCCAGGACACCGGGGTAACACCCCTACTCTTCTCGAGAGACGCCCTGGGATTTTTAATGACCACAGAGAGTCAGGACCTCGGTTTTACGTCTCATCCGAAGGACGGCGCCTGTTTACAGTATAGTGTCCCCGTCACTATACTGGGGCATTAGGACCCACACAGACCGCAGGGTGAGCACCCCCTGCTGACCCCACTAACACCTCTTCCAGCAGCAGCCTCAGCTTTCCCAGGAGTCTCCCATCCAGGTACTGACCAGGCTCACACTGCTGAGCTCCAGGGGGCTGCCAGCTGGGAGCTGCAGGGTGATTTGGCTGCTGGCTGTGATGAGGCTGTGTGGTGGGACTGGTGTGTGTCGGTCCATCCAGAGCACAGCCCTCGTCAGTGCAGGAGGTCTGACAGCCCTGAAGAGGGAGTCTGCATCGTCCTGGCAGAGGTACAGCCATCGCTCAGGGGACCCAGCCAGCCCGAGCTCCAGCTGTGAGAGAGACAGCTACAGAGGTGAGACATCGTTCTCCCAGCTCAACACCATCACGTGTGTCTCTTGCATTTCCCATAGGCCCAGAGACAGGACACCACTGGTACAGGAGCTGGAGATGGGGGCCGGTCTTCAGCTTCACTGTCAGCAGGCCCACAAGTCAACATCATCTCTGTCCCTGGAGCACTCAGCATGGACACCTTCTGTCCGGGGATTCACTGAGGAGCAGGAAGAGGAAGCGCTTTCCTGGAGGCAGGCACTAGTTTGTCACTAATTAGTGAAAACTTACAGCACACTCCAGCACTTAAGCATCACTCTTTGATGAAGCACTTTCAAATAGCACACACACTCACAGCTGAGCAGCGTGGCAGTTTGGGCTCATTAAAGGGGAACATTTTAGTCATCTGGGTGTTGCACAAAGGGTTTAGACTATCGTGTATCTTTTCAGCCAGTATTTTGATCTGTTTAGGAGTCTTGTTGTTTTCTTGTTTAAATCCCGAGAGGTTTCCTACAAGAACTGTTGATATTGGGAACTCCCACTTCCCATCAGAAACTCTGTGACACTAGACTGTGTCTGTACCCTCTCTGTACTCCTGAGAAAGCTCTCTGGCACACCGAGTCCTGAAGGTGCTGTAGAAGGATTCATAAGGCCTTGCTGGATTTTCGAGGGCGTGGGCAGGAGAGAGTGAAAATGAAAGTGTAACGTCTCGCACTACCCTGCAGTTTCAAGATGACAGCTTAAACACCCAGTGGCCTTTCTCTGTTAAAGTGAGTACGTTTTAGCAAGTTATTTATCACTTGTCAACGAATAGGTTTTCGATACTGTTACAGTGTAGCTTTTTGGCTAAAAGGGAAGTAAAACAGTTTGCTTTATAAATTGATATCGATTAAATTTTTATAGGATTAAATTTCTCAGTGCTGACTTCTCCTTTCCTGTGTGCTGTACGCCCAGCTCTGCAGCGATCTCTTCACTCTGACAGCTCTGTAGAGCCCAGGGCCCTCAGGAGAGATGAGGACACTGACTGTGCTGGGGCTCCTGGCTGCTGTGTGGGGAGCTTTGAGGACTGAAGGTACAGTAGTTCCCTCTTCTTCCTCCTGCCTCTCCTCAGCTCAGGAAGGGTGGGATAGAGGACAAATTCAATAATGTATAATCCTGAAAAACAGATGATCAATACATTTGAAATCGGAGCGAAGGATGTCTTGCAAGTACAGTTGTACAGTTCTTAAGGGTTTCTTTCTTGTCCTGTGTGTATCTTTGAAACAGGCCTCAGACTCTAACTGGGGAAGTTCCTAGTTAAATTAGTTTCAATTTCTGTTTATACTGTACCTTGGAGGCTTCGTGAATAAAATTAGGTTTTAAATTTGAGCACAGCAGCCTCCTGACTCTGGGGTTGGAGCCTCCTGGGGTAGAAGGTTTTTAATTTACAGCAGGAGACCAGGTCAGTTAGAGCACAGGGTGGCAGAGACCTGCAGACTCTGCAGTCATACAGGTCATACAGGACCTCCCGATAGGTGTAAATCTAGCTTTACACACACACTTGTGCAGCCTCAGGCCTGCCTAGTGCGTACGTGTGTCTGGAGTAATGTCTGCTGTGTGTCTGCAGTGATGCCCTTCCAGCATGACTGACCAGTGTTCTAGTGATGTGAAAGATTGCTCTTTGCTTGATTTAGAGCTCTTATTAAATTGCTGTACAGTGTATAATAGTGTCATTTTGTGCAGGATTGTGATAATTGTAACTGTAGTAAGTGTGAACGTACTGTATAAGAATGATGTCACCCTGTATAAGGTTTTGAGGATCGTGACCCTGAAGCACCGGTACCTGCAGTAATCACAGGGCTCATTGGCTCTGGGCCTGATGATCCACTCTTCTGTGGCCCCAGGTTTGTCTGTGCAGGGCCCCAGGGAGCCTCTAGTGGCCAGGCCTGGGGACGAGGTGCTGCTGCCCTGCTCTGTGGACAGCACTGTCCCCCTGCAGGAGCTGGAGGTGGAGTGGAGGAGGACAGACTCAGATGTCCTGGTGCTCCTGTTCTCCGAGGGGGAGAGCAGGCCGGAGTCCCAGCACCAGAGCTACCGGGGCCGAG